ACAAAACGAGGATTTGTAAAGAAGAATGTCGGAGGATTTGGATATAAGCCAAGAGGAGACTGGGTTTCCTTTGCTAAAGTAAGGAAACTTTGCTTCCTGTGCTCCTGTAAACAAACGTTGGTTTTCACGAGACTCACCGGCGCATGCACATCGCTGACCTCATACGTCATCCGCCCTGAACGGCTTCTGTGCACAACTGTTGGTGCAAGCTACATTAAAGTGATTATTACATTTTGAATATGAATATTTCTCTTACAAAAACGCATCGATTCGCTACAGGAGGCCTTTGTTCACCCCCCGGAGCCGTGTGAGACACTTTTTTTTATGGATGGGCGATTTTTATTTAAGTTCTTTTGGACTGAAGCAATGCAACACCCGCTGAGTGCCATTAAACAATTTTTAATATAACTCCGACTGGATTCGTCTGAAAGAAGAAAGTCATATACACCTAGGATGCCTCGGGAGTGAGTAAAACACAGCCTAATTTTCATTTTTGGGTGAACTAACCATTTAATTGGCTCTTGCACAAATATCCTAAATTAGAGCAGAAAGTCTTCAGTTCATAAAGTTGTGGCATTTAATGTTGAAAAAAAAAAAATCTTCCACAGTTTTCCAACACAAATATCTAAACATCCTTAAATCAGGCTTTACTTAAGATGCAAGATATTAAGTCTTGTTTTCTGATCAATTAAACAAAATGAAGCGAGTTTATGCTTGTGAAAGAAGAATGTCTGTGTAAACATGTTTTCCCTTTGAATTAATTTTAGATTTCTGACCCATTGGCAGATATTTGTTCTTATTTTAATCTTAAATTCATTTTGTTTTGAACAGTTTATACGAAATCAAGTCTTCTGGTGTCATTTAACTTACATTTATGCTGATTTAAATACTCATTGTGTGCATTTTGGGGTGAACTGTCCCTTTAAGTGCCTTGCTCAAGGCGGGATTTGAACCTGCAACCTTTTTTTGGTTACCAGCCCAGATCTGTAACCACTAGCTAAACCACCCACGTCACTATCTTTAGATGTGGCTTTAACTTGCACTTGAGCAGCCGTACAATAGACAGGATTAGGAAGAGCCACACGTTTTCTTCGTCTAGTTTTGAAGAATTCGCTTTTTGTTTTCCCCTGTGAAGCTTCGTTAGCGTCTTGAGTTTGATTACGCTGAGGGCAAAGGCAGAGGTTTTGG